CTGCTTTGATTGTATCGACGACTGGATGAAGAAGCGATATGAATGCCCGCTATGCCACAGAGCCACCAGCCATATTGTCCAAATCGGCCAAAGCGGACTCGAAGCAAAGACGCCGGCGGAGGGCGGGACTTTTAAAGAGTTTGAAGCTGAGGTTCATCTTCTGTCATTAATTCATCACGACAATCAGCTTACTCGTAGTACTTAATGTTATTTTTGATGTGCGGAGCAGGATCTGTACGTGTCTTTGAAACTGAAACGATCAGTGCAATCAGTATTTCCAACCTATGGAATCATTTAGGCGAGTTATTTTTTGAAGGACCTGAAATAGCTGCGCTCGGTGTTTCGGAGCATATTAGTAATATCACTAACAGGAGATACCCATACTGATAGCCCGAGCAGTCTTGATATTCTTCACATTTGTTTTTAATTCTATGCTTTATGCGCACATAAACGTTACTTGAATCAGCTGCATGTCATCCGCAAAAATGATGGATTTAAATCATTTTTTATCTACTCTCTCGACTATAAGCTTCACCGACTGTGTAAGAGTATTGACACCGCTCGGAAAGCTTAAGTTCTTTCTCGCGCAGGAGCTTAAACCACAGTGAGGCTGGGTTTTTTTGAACTGAGCCTTGTTTCAGTTGGCTGTTCATGATGAAGAGGACGGCAAATCATCGAAAAAAGTGGGCAGTGTAACAGTCGCGCATGCAAGCTGCCATGAGACAACACCGGCAGAAGAAAGCAGTACCGTCGGTTTCGACCCGAAACACAAAGCTCTCAATGAGGAGGATGCCGATGCGGGATACCAAAACGATAGTGGCGATGAATTCACAACCTCTCATGATACGTCGCTGGATGCTGGCGACACCACCGAGGAAGAGCCTAATGAGAGCAAGACGCAAACAGATTCCAGTGATGAGTTACTCGATGAGACCGAATACGAAAGTAATAATGTACCGAATTTATTCAAACTACTGAAGACGGAGGGTTGAAATAAGGGGTGGGGAGACGCAAAGGAAGAAGAGAAGAGGAGGAGGAAAGAAAGAGATTGTGCGTGAGTGTACAAAGTAAAGCGCTAATAAATAAATTTTGTTAGTGCGGGAAAATTGTGAGTTCAAAGCCTAAACATAAAGCAAAGTAAGCAGTGTAGCACAATAGACGAATAAGCACAACCACGCAGTTTTCGCGCAGTTCACGGCAGCATTTTCATCGTGTTATAGTCAGACTCTCCCGCGCATAAAATGTCCAGCGCAGTAGCGAATTTTACCATACAAATGCGGTGAACTGGTTGCATTTTTGTGTAGAAAATAACCAAAGACAACCAAAATAAACAGCGCCGTCACTGTAATTTTGCATTCCGCGGCAAGACAGTTACATTGCTCAGTTTTTTCACACGTAAATTGCAGAAATATTTTTCAGCAACCGATTTAGAATCATCCGATTCCGAAGGCTTTGCTTGTGCTGGTACTAATAAACATGAAGGCGATAATGATGACAACTGCGGTAATCGCGCATGCGCTAAAATAGTGCCGCCGATACAGCCAATAGCTCGTGGAATAACGACAGCTGAGGCAGACCATGCTGTGACCAGACGTTCCAAAAGAGTTGCACGTCGATCGGTGAAACCTCGTGCTAAAAGCACATCCAAAGTGCGAAAAAGAGGGGAACGCTCGAAGCCGGCCCCCTTACGCCAGCCTTCTGTGACACGACGCTATTCCGCAAAATGAGATTTCACAAGTGATAAATAGGTCGAAATGAAAGTAATTACTCTGGTGCAATCTCCAATAAAATCAAAAGTAGATGGTCCTTGAGGTATGCCGAAAGAAATAGTGTGTGCGAAATGAAGTAGGGTGAGATTTACGCAGTGAAAGGTCTCGAAATACTTTCTCTCATCTTGTTCGAACGAGTGCGCCTATGTATAGATCTAAATTTGGGCACTAGCTTTTCGTGTCCCACAGAATCAGGCAATATTCCCTTAAAATTTTAGCTGTCTTTCTTGTCTGATTGCCAAGAGAGTAGTATGACGGCAGTGTTACAATTCGAAATCTAATGCGCCTGTACGCAAGGAACCTATCTAAGCAAAAGATCATTTTATTGTACAAGGGATTATTTTATTTTATTGTTTTGCCTGCACAAATCCCAGCTCTACTGCTGAAATTATAAATCTGCCTTCCAAAAGACTAATATTTTTTCTGATATTCCACGATAAGTTTAATTTACCTGCAAGCGTTTTCCACTTCTTTACCGACCAATATCTCAAATCCTCGCTTCTTAGCCAATTACTGCAACTGCGGTGAACTTTTAAGCAAGGCAAAAGCTTATTAAGAACAAGTTATGTTTGTCGTAAAACCAAGTGTGCGAATGTAATGTTGCAAATAGCGTCAGCGTCAAGGGTCGAGGTACCGGCCACAGGCACAATGTCGAAGGGGGTACATTTGGGGTACACAGATGAGGGAGATTGTGTCGAGAGAATACCGGTACAGGTTTGGGGTGCTCTTTGATAAAATGCTGTTGAGCGGTAGCGTTTCAGGAAGGTTTCGTTCGAAGGAAATGCGTCAAGAATGCTGACACTCAGATTCTGACCAGTACAGAAATATTGGGGTAGTCTCCTAGCACATCACCCATCCCGAACCCCGCCAAAACCGATCGCAGCCCCGTCTCACACAACGCAGTCACACAGCTTTGCCGCCGGTCATAATTATGATGCAGTCTTTTATTATTATAGTCTGTTCATAACGTCACCAAAAACGGAACAGTGGTAAAAAGAGACGAAAATAGAGGGGAGCAACGCAAAATATTCGAACGTTTTGAAGAGGTTCTCCTTCCCAGCACCTAATCTTGCGAATCTGCCAAAGAAACTCCGCATTTGACGAAGCACTGTTCCGGAAATCCTCGTATATGCTAGTACATTTCATAACTAGTACAAAAAAACTATTAAAATTCCTTTAATGGCAACTTATTTGAACGTAGAATTACCGCTAAAATTTCATGTGAAACATTAATAATGACGGATTCGATATCACTGCTATACATAGAACTTGTGGAAAAATCTTCAACGTTCACAGGGCTTCTGGAAAATTTTGAGTCATTTATTAGAGGTATTAAGTGCGCCTGGAAAGATCACTTATTCCACCTTTGCGATTGTCTAGATGGTTTTGTTGATTTGAATAATTTATCTAATTTTTTTGCTAATACACCGAGGTCCGTTTTCGCGCGATTACCGCAAATGGCACCCGGCTTACCTTGCTGAGTATACAACTGCCGAATGTTGACAGTTATTAAAAGTATATCAATATTTTGGTGTCTGCCACAATTGGTGACATGCTTTATCCGCACACACAAAAGAAAATACAAAAGAGAATTTCTGCATGTTAACACCTTAAAAACTGGCACATTTTACATATGCTGAAAAAATGTCTGAATTACAGCCTGCCGCGTTTACCACTTTAAAATTTAAACGAACCAATAGATGAATGTGTAGACTAAAGTACTGAAAATAGGACTGGTTTATCGCATATCTGGCATGCTAATTGTGAGGCGATCCAATTTTAGGCGTAGCAGCTATGAAAAGCCTACCAGATGCGCTTTGGCAAAAAAACTCGCCATGATGAGATAGCAGCCGATCAAAGTACCAAAGCACAGTGGTTGAAAATGAAGATGATTTGTGGCTCATCTGGCTACGTTTGTATGTTTCTGCAATTTTAATGTCGTGGATTTCAACAGAATTCACCCCGATGCGGTAAATTTCCCCAGCAAACAGATCAAACAATACATATGAAAATTTTTCGAAAAAAAAAACGAAAGAAACAATGCGTCCAAAAGAAAGTCACAACCTCTAATGTGTAAGTGCAATGTGTAAGATAAACAACAACCAAAAAAATAAAGCAGAATGATATGTTAGAGTTCAGGCTGAAATTCAAAATCTTTAAATTTACGAAAACTTCGAGTTGCGAGCTTTTAGGATGTTTCAATTTTGTGATTTCAGAACAAAAATGAGCCTGGCATTGCTGTGCTTAGTGTGTGCATGCATACACGTAAGATTGGAATTCCACGCTGAGATTTCGCGGATTTTGAAGGTCGTGTTGATATGTTGTTAGAAAGTTCCTAGGCTTTGAAAGGTATCACGAATACAATAGACCATTAAAAATAATCAAAAAAAAAAAAAAACTCTGAAAACTTAAAATTCACTAAAAAACATTAAACTTGATATATGAACTGAAGTTCGCCCTACAACGTGATCAGTGCTATTCTGTTGACTGCAGAATATGAAAAAATCATCAATTTGCTACAACAGCAGATTGTTCAGGAGGTTTCTATACTTTGAAAGATAAAGTATAGCGAAAGAAAAATGAAAGTATTGGCTGCCACAAATAAAAAATATAGCTGCATTGGCGAGAGATACAAAAGTGATCAAAATCACAGCATGAAAATATCAACTGCCAAAATCAAAAAGGAAAATATGAGGACAATACAGACATGCCATGAAGACAAGAAAAGCTTCAGAATAAAAGTGAAAGGATTATGGAAAGAAAGTGCTCCCCTTAATTTAATTTTTTAAAAAAAACACCAAAAAATATCAAGTCCGTTTCGACAACTGAGCGGCGGGTACTAAATTGATGTATGAAGCTCAGGATCAAACCCCTTAAATACCTGCAACCGGTGCATGTATAAGGGTGTCCCATCAGTGTCAAATATAAGAAAAACACACCAAATTTCTCCAAGTTTTGCGATGAAGAAGGCAGATCAAGATCGCGAAATACCCAAAAAACATCTATTCGGGAAATAGGAAGAGCAGAGGACCTCATAACTGGGAAGCGCCTGTCTAATAATTTTACAATAATATGAGGTTAAAAAACTTGTGCTCGCGAAGGCACCCAAGCATGCGATCGTGACTGCTCCGCAATAACATTTAACACACGATGCACGAGATCCTCGAATGAGTGTCCGCTTACAACCGCTGCAACAAAAAAAACACACATAAAATGTAACAAATAGCAACGCGCACCAGACTGGCCGGTGCGATCAAGCGTTTTGTGCAATTCAGCCCATCGAACGATTGCCTATTAATGATTTTACTGCTTTATACTTTTGTCTATGCAAAAATAGTTCAAGCATTGGAAAATAGTTAAAAATTTCATACACCAGCGCATGAAAGCTGAATTCGAAACCTTGAAGGGTGAATATCTTTCCGTGATTCCCTAGTTAATAGTTTAGCCGCCAAAACTCTCATGAAGCCGTAGGTGATACTCAACAGCGAGGAAACGCTGAATTTGAACAGGCAAGGTTGAGCGTGGGCAGGGAGTTATTACCCTAAAATTTCAGCCTCCTAGACTCCGTGGTTCCTGAGATATTGACTTACCCGTAAAAAACTTTCATGGGGTCGCACGAGTTACCCGCGGGTACGGGGAGGCTGAATTTAAATTTGCCGCGTCACCCGTTGGCGGGGAACACTATACCAAAGTTTCAGCCGCCTAGCTTCTGTGGCCCCCGAGTTGAAAGTGCGGGACAAAATGTGAGACACACACACACACACACAAACAACCCCGTGACAATGTGCGTTTTGTAACGCTGTTACACAGCACAAAACGCATAAAAATGATCAAAAAAGCGCAAAAATGCCTACAAAATTTGAGGTAGGAACATAACCATTCTGGGATGGTAACAGTTTTACTCACTTTCCTCAAAAACAAGTGAAGATTCAGGTTCGGAAGACCGTAGTTCGTATTACCATTACGCTGTGTGAAGTTTAACTAGCAACAGCACCAACAGATTACTGATGTTTGGTCAAACAAAGAGGGTTGTGTTGATTCCGCTGAATACCCGGACTTGAATATTAAAGAACAGCGGGTTAACTAGAGATTTTAGTAAATAAGATATGAAGCAGCAAAGAAAATCCTGTTCATACAGCACCGCAAATTCGTGTTCCACTAGCTGAGCCCTCAAGTTAATGCGGTTTTCAAAAATTCCTCGTAAATTGGTAAAGTAGCTAGGATATCAGCAATTACTAAAACACGGCTCGGCCCGTGCCTTACACGATTAGCCAAAAATTTTTTCTATGGACGACGGTAGGGTTGTCCGTGCAGCCCTGTGCTACAAATACGATCAGGGCTATTGAAACTTAAAACAAAGGCTGGAACGCACCAGGCGAGCCGGTGCGATCATGCGTTTTTGCATCAAAACTAA